TTGGAAGAATACCCCCGCTTACATTGTGTTCAGTTGGAAGAACACCCCCGCTTACATTGGTGTTCAGTTGAAAGAATACCCCGCTTACATTGGGCGTTCAGCTGGAAAAAATACCCCCGCTTACATTGGTGTTCAGTCGGAAGAATCCCCCGCTTACATTGGTGTTCAGTTGGGAATCCCCCCGCTTACATTGTGTTCAGTTGGAAGAATACCCCCGCTTACATTGGTGTTCAGTTGGAAGAATCCCCCCGCTTACATTTTGTGTTCAGTTGGAATACCCCCCGCTTACATTGTTGTTCAGTTGGAAGAATACCCCCGCTTACATTGGCGTTCAGTTGGAAGAACACCCCCGCTTGCATTGGTGTCAGTCTCTCTGGTGTCAAGCTGCCGTGCTGCCCAACCACGCTGGCTCTGGGACTATTCAGGACAATTACATGGGAGGTCGGCCACAACTCAAGCTACTCCTTTGGGTCTCTTAGGTCGAATTTATGTACTACATGAATATATATTGAGTTCAGCTTTAAAAAATATATATATATATTTATATCTTTGGTGCTGGAGCCCCCCTGGCCCTTTCAGGGGTGTGTGACAAAAGGAGGCTGGGTGGGGTTGAGGGCCACATGACCACCATGATTGGCTTTCACAGTGGTCACATGATCCGAAAGCTCCTGATTGCAAGTAGCTATTGAGACCTTTCCGTTGGGCGCCGGTAAATGTGCCGGGAACATGCAGGGTGCACATTGGGTACACGGCTGGGCCCTGACGCCGAGAAGCCGCCTATCTGTGGGAGGAGTTAAAGTGGTTCTAAAGGCTGAAGGGTCTTTTTGAACCTTCATAAGCCCGGGTTCACACTGATGCGGTGCGGCACATCGCATTTGATTCGCTCAGTAAACGCACCGCATTCCTATGTAAATCACATGCGATTTGTGTGCGGTGCGATCAGAGCCGTACATTTTGTATGACTCCGATCGCATCCGCACCAAAAGAGTGCAGGACCCTTTTTTTTTTTGGTCCACGCCAGAATCGGATTGCATTGGGTGTTCACGCCCGTGCGATCAGATTCTGCACATCGCGCCGCGTTTGCGAATAGATTTGTTAACTTAAAATACACCCCCGCATCGGTGCACATGACCTTGGTGCAATTACTGCACAGAACCAGCACCGAATCAGTGTGAACCAGGGAACAATAACCTTTATTAGTGTACCCCCCAATACTTAATTGAGCCCAGGGGCGGAGTGACAACTCATGGGGCCCCCGGGCAATAGGGGATCATGGGGCCCCTGTGTCCTTGCCCAAACTCAAAAAAGCCTATGAAAAATGTACAAGGGGCATCTCATGGGGCCCCCTACTGACCCCGGGCGCTTGGGCAGCGCCCGAGTTTCCAAATGGTCAGTCCGCCACTGCCTGAGCCCCATCTCGATCCAGAGCTGTGCCTGAGAGCAGCGGCTCTCCCGGCTCTCTCCCTCCTCATTAGCTCAGAGACAGCAGTGGGAGCCATTGCTCTTGTCAATCACAAGGGGGTGGGGCTAAGCCACACTCTGTGTGTCTATGGACTCAGAAGTGAGCACACACAAGCGCCCCCAAGCGGATTGCAATGGGTGGAACTCAGCAAAGGGGAGGAGCCAGGACCCGAGAAGAGGAGGATCTGTGCAAAACCAATAACATGGTTTTTTTATTTTTTTTTTTAATTGTACCTTGAGCCCGGATTCACATATATGATGTGCGTTCAGGAGCGGACTGACCATTCAGGCACTCGGGCACTGCCTGGGGTCAGTAGGAGGCCCCATGAAATGCCCCTGGTACCTTTTTATAGGCTTTTTTTTTGGGTGTGCTTTGAGTGTGGGCAAGGACACAGGGGCTCCATGATCCCCATATTGCCCGGGGGGCCCACGAGTTGTCAGTCCCCCCTGGGTAAGGTTCATCACATGTGATCTGTGTGCGGTGCGGTCGGAGCCGTACATTGTGTATGGCTCTAATTGTGGCTACAAGGTCACACTCAGGGGCGGACTGACCATTTGGGAACTCGGGCACTGCCCGAGGGCCCGGGGTCAGAAGGGGGCCCCATGAGATGCCCCTGGTACCTTAGGATTTTTTTGGGTGTTGTTTAAGTTGTGGGCAAGGACACAGGGGCCCCATGATCCCCTATTGCCTGGGGGCCCCATGAGTTGTCAGTCTGCTTGTACAGAAGACATCATCCACTACGTATGGCTCGATGAACATTTTTTTTTTGATTGGTTAATTTTGACCAATGAACGAACGATCAGTGGTTGGATGATTTTTTTACCATGTATTCCTAGCTCTAGTGTGGGGGGGAGGGGCAAATTGATGTTTCTTTTCGACAGCAGGGACGGGAAGATTCGAAGGGGCAGGAAGGAAAACGTATTGATCAAAAAATTTTCAGCCGGCGTATGTGGCGATCGTTCAGAAATGACATTCATTATAAACTTGAATGTTAAAAGCAAAAGACAATTTTTTCGAACGACATTCGTCCATTCATCGAATGTTCAAAGAGTTTTTCATACGACTTTTCGTACTAATCTCGTCCAAAAATCTGCACGTGTATGGCCAGCTTTAGGATCGAATGGTAAACAGGCGATAGTCACAGCCATTGACTTGGGGGGGGGGGAACATAACGCAGATTCCCGTCAATGGAATCACAAGTGTCGCCACAGGTGGGAAGGTTTAAATCTGGTCTTCAGCCGAGCGGCGGCGGCGGCGGATCCGAATCTCTGCAATGAGCCGCATTCCGATAACGGCTTTCGGCAGACTAACAAATGACACAATTCGGTCTCTAATTGGCAATGAAATCCTCGTCTTCCCCCTAATTAGAATGGGAATGAGATGGCGGGAAAACGCTGCGAGCCGCGCGACGCGCCCAATAAGAAACATCTTGCCACAACTTAATCACGGCATTATTATCATTTATACGACCCCATCCAGACGATGATATTTTTACAGTCTCGGGTCATCTGCATCTAAATCGATGTTTTAGAAAACATAATACGAGGAGCGGCGGGGAGCCGTCTGTGCAGAGAGGAGCGCGGCGGCAGCGGGAAAACGTCTCCATCGCCAAAAATGAAAAAAAAAAAAAAAAAAAAAACAATATAAAGTAAACGGCGCAACACCTGGGGAACGGGAACACGAAGCCGACGGGAAGCTGTTTAAGTATTTATGCCAGAAATGTATTTAGAAACGCTTTATGGGGGGGAACATCGTACGACCCGTTCCTGGAGGCGGGGCGAGGAAATAGACGCCGCTATTGACCGTGGAAATGTCATTCTTTATTTAATATATCGGTTTTAGAAATGTGGAAAAAAAAAACAACAACAAACAAAACAAAAAAAAAACAAGTTTTCCCCGTTTTTAGTAGCAGCAATGATCTCCAGGCAGCTGGGACCTCAGTCACCAAGAGAACAGTGAGGAATCATCCCAGAACTACACGTGAGAATCTTGTCAATGATCTCCAGGCAGCTGGGACCACAGTCACCAAGAGAACAGTGAGGAATCATCCCAGAACTACACGTGAGGATCTTGTCAATGATCTCCAGGCAGCTGGGACCACAGTCACCAAGAAAACAATTGGTAACACACTACGCCGACAAGGACTGAAATCCTGCAGTGCCCGCAAGGTCCCTCTGCTCAAGGTGACTGCGGTCCCAGCTGCCTGGAGATCATGGACAAGATCCTCACGTGTAGTTCTGGGATGATTCCTCTATGTTCTCATGATCATTGACACTCCACGAGGGGAGATCTTGCATGGTGCACCAGACCTAGGGAGACTGACACTTGTTTTGTGTTTCTTCCATTTGTGAATGATTGCACCGGCTGTTGTCACCTTCTCACCAAGCTGCTTGGCCATAGTTTGGTAGCCCAGTCCAGCCTTGTGTAGGTCTACCATCTTGTCCCTGACATCCTTGACCAGCTCTTTGGTCTTTGCCATGGTGGAGAGTTTGGAATCTGATGGTTTGATGGCTCCTGTGGACAGGTGTCTTTTATACAGGTAACACAATGAGATTAGCAGCACTGCCTTTAAGAGACTGCTTCTAATCTCAGCTTGTTACCTGTATGAGAGACACCTGGGAGGCAGAAATCCTGCTGAATGATAGGGGATCAAATCCTTCTTTCCCTCATGAACATGCAGATCCGTCATCATTTGTTAGACGCATTTCTGCTGAATTTGTTGTTGTATTCTGTCTCTCAGTGTTACAATACACCGAACATTCAATTTTTAGACCCGTCATTTCTGTGTGAGGGGCGAACATTCAACATCAGCAGGGGAGCAAATACGCATTTCCTTCACTGTAGTCCTGCATGGCCAGGCAACCCTCATTTCCTTCACTGTATAATGATGATAGAGCCATAATATTTATTATATATATCCTTCACTGTATACACGGAGTACTCTGTATTATAGTAGTAGTAGATTATTATTAGTAGTAGTTTTTATATTATTAATAATATTGTTTTTTCTATTTTTATTTTAATAGTAGTAGTGATAGTAGTGGTATTTTGATAATACTATCCACGTTACACCACGGCATCCGACGCTTTGCATTGCACTTGGTGATGGAAGGCTTGGATGCAGTTGCTCGGCCATGGAAACCCATTCCATGAAGCTCTCTACGCACTGTTGTTGGGCTCATCTGAAGGCCACACCAAGTTTGGAGGTCTTTAGCTATTGGCTCTGCAGACAGTTGGCGACTTCTGCGCACTGTGCGCTTCAGCATGCTCTGACCCCGCCCTGTCATGTGACGTGGCCTACCACTTGGTGGCTGTTGTTCCCAGTTGCTTCCACTTTGTTATAATCCCACTAACAGTTGAGTGTGGAATATTTAGTAGCCAGGAAATGTCACGTGGACTTATTGCACAGGTGGCCACCTATCACGGGACCACGTTTGGAGACACTGAGCTCCTGAGAGCGACCCATTCTTTCACCAATGTTTGTAGAAGCAGTCTGCATGTCTAGGGGCTTGATTGTATCCACCTGTGTCCATGGAGGGGATTGGAACACCTGAATCACATGATATGGAGGGGATTGGAACACCTGAATCACATGATTGGGAGGGGATTGGAACACCTGAATCACATGATTGGGAGAGGATTGGAACACCTGAATCACATGATTTGGAGGGGATTGGAGCACCTGAATCACATGATTTGGAGGGGATTGGAACACCTGAATCACGTGATTGGGAGAGGATTGGAACACCTGAATCACGTGATTTGGAGGGGATTGGAACATCTGAATCACATGATTTGGAGGGGATTGGAACACCTGAATCACATGATTTGGAGGGGATTGGAACACCTGAATCACGTGATTTTTGGGAGGGGATTGGAACACCTGAATCACGTGATTTGGAGGGGATTGGACACCTGAATCACATGATTTGGAGGGGATTGGAGCACCTGAATAACAATAACCATGAAATTAACATGATTTGGAGGGAGGGGGGTGGCAATACTTTTGGCAATATAGTGTCATTGAAATGAATGGGCCTGTCCTACGCACAACAAATGAGTAGAGGCGCGTCTGCGCTCGGTCACCCAAGTCTGATGCTCGGTGTGTTATAAACACATAGTTACATCTTAATCTATAGATATCGGGAATCGGCAGAGTCGTCGGGCGCAGCACAGCGCCGGCTTGGAGGGTGAATTATACGTTGACTCGCAGCCCATCAAGGAAAGGCCGTTCTGTTCTTATGTGTCAACATCCTTGAGCTAGTATGCAATAAATGTCATGCTTATGATATCCCGGCACGGCTGTAATTTGTAGCGTGTTCATTTCATGACCCCATTATCCCATTACACAATGCCGCCATAAAATGACTGCATTTGTAATGTCACAAATTTTATTACATTGTCACCCAAGGGCTCGGACCTAACAGGCGGTAAAGCGGGCAGGCGTCTCAACAAAAGCCGTTCCTTCTCCGCTCGAAAAACCTCAGCCACAAATTCCGCCGCCGTGCCCCCGTTATTAATGATATGGATCTCTCAATCGTCGATTATCCGTCCTCCTTTCCTATAGGTGTCAGGCAGACCAAGAACATTTCTGCCATTCCATCAATCAAAGATCAAAGTCCTAAGTAATAGGTCTGATTTGCTAGAATGGGCCCGGAGCGTTCACTGGGTTTTTGTTGTTTTTTTTTTGTGGCATTTAAATCCCTTTCATCTCTTTTTTTTTTCTATTTTGTTGGAAATAGAGACAAATTCAATATTTTCCCTGCACCTTAACACCTCAGATCATCCAATTCCTGCACACTCACAGTTCAGATCAGTTCAGTTCCTGCACCTCCACCTCTCAGCACCTCCCCACATTCTCAGATCACCCCAATCCCTGCACATTCACATCTTAGATCACCTCCCAATCACCCCAATTCCTGCACCTTCATTCACATCTCTTCAGATCACCCCAAATCCCTGCACCTTCACCCCTCAGATCACCCCTGCACCTTCCTGCACCTTCTGCACCCCCTCAGATCACCCCAATTCCTGCACCTTCACCCCTCAGATCATCCCAACCCCAATCACCCCTCAGATCACCTTGCACCTTCACCCCTCAGATCACCCCAATTCCTGCACCTTCACCTCTCAGATCACCCCAATTCCTGCACCTTCACACCTCAGATTGTTCCAGTTTCTGCACCTTCACGTCTCAGATCACCACAATTCCTTCACCTTCACCCCTCAGATCACCCCAATTCGTGCACCGTCACATCTGCACCTTCACCCCTCAGATCACCACAATTCCTGCACCTTCACATCTCAGATCATCCCAATTCCTGCACCTTCACCCCTCAGATCACCACAATTCCTGCACCTTCACATCTCAGATCATCCCAATTCCTGCACCTTCACATCTCAGATCACCCCAATTCCTGCACCTTCACCCTCAGATCACCACAATTCCTGCACCTTCACACCTCAGATCAGTTTCCCAATTCACGTCCTGCAACCTTCACATCTCAGATCACCCCAATTCCTGCACCGTCACATCTTCACCCCAATTCCTGCACCTTCTCAGATCACCACAATTCCTGCACCTTCATCTCAGATCATCCCAATTCCTGCACCTTCACCTTCACCCTCAGATCACCACAATTCCTGCACCTTCACCCCTGAGATCACCCCAATTCCTGCACCTTCACCCTGAGATCATCCCATTCTCAGATCAGATCACCCCGGTTACTGCACCTTAACACCCCAGATCATCCAAAACATGCACCTTTACAGCTCAGATCAGTTCAATTCCTGCACACTCACCCCAGTCCCTACACCTTCACCTCTCAGATCACCCCAATTCCTGCACCTTCACCCCTCAGATCACCCCAATTCGTGCACTGTCACATCTCAGATCACCCCAATTCCTGCACCTTCACACCTCAGATCACCCAAATTCCTGCACTTTCACCCCTCAGATCACCCCAATTCCTGCACTGTCACATCTCAGATCACCCCAATCCCTACACCTTCACATCTCAGATCATCCCAATTCCTTCACCTTCACCCCTCAGATCACCACAATTCCTGCACCTTCACCCCTCAGATCACCCACCCATCAGATCTACACCAATTCCTGCACCTTCACATCTCAGATCACCCCAATTCCTGCACCTTCACATCTCAGTTCATCCCAATTCCTGCACCTTCACATCTCAGATCACCCCAGTTACTGCACCTTAACACCCCAGATCATCCAAAACATGCACCTTTACAGCTCAGATCAGTTCAATTCCTGCACACTCACCCCAATTCCTACACCTCCACCTCTCAGATCACCCAAATCCCTGCACTGTCACATCTCATATCACCCCAATCCCTGCACCTTCACCCCTCAATCACCCCAGTTCCCACACTTTCATTCCTCAAATCACCCCAATTCGTGCACCTTCACTCCTCGGATCACTCCAATCTCTACACCTTTAGCTCTCAGATCACCCCAAACCCTGCACCTTAACACCTCAGATCATCCAAATCATGCGCCTTCACAGCTCAGATCAGTAAAATTCCTGCACACTCACCCCAATCCCTGCACCTCTCAGATCACCCCAGTTTCTACACCTTCACACCTCAGATCATCCCAAATCCTACACCTTCACATCTCAAATCACCACACCTTCACACCTCAGATCACCCCAGTTCCTACACCTTCAAATCTCAGATCACCCCCAAATCCTACACCTTCACACCTCAGTCAGTCCCAGTTTCTTCCTGCACCTCCTGTCATGCACCTGTGGTAGTGAGCCCTTGTAGATCACCCTAGGTTTCTAGTTTCTCGGGGTGCGGAATCTAAAACAGGCCATAGACAGGTCGGACATCGGCCGGTTTTGTTTTTTTAAAAATGAAAAAAATCGGTCGTTCAATCGGCCGACGTTACCACTAACGTTAAAAAAAACAAATCGGCTGATTTTCGTCCCATCTACGGCCAGCATTAGCCCCGGCTTGCTTCTTCACCAGGGCCCCTGATAGTGGGGATGGACTTGAAGCAAGCTGAAACCAGGTCGCGGCCCCCAGGTATGCCCAGCTGAGGATGTGGAGACCCCTCATATGTGCAGAGTACAAACAGCAGGAGACAACAGGAAATCCAGGAGACAAGCCGAGGTCAGGATGGGCAGCAAACAAGCACAGGCGGTGGAAGAAGCCAGGATCAGTACACAGGTAGTCAGTAGGGTGGCCAGCACATCCCTTTAAAGCCAAACACATAATAATTACACAGGTTCTGGGGCTGATTAAGGTGATAATTAACCCCTCGCCTACCGGGCACTTATACCCCTTCCTGCCCAGGCCAATTTTCAGCTTTCAGTGCTGTTGAGCTTTCAGTGACAATTGTGCAGTCATGCAACACTGTACCCATATGAGATTTTTATCATTTTGTTCACACAAATAGATCTTTCTTTTGGTGGTATTTAATTGCCACTGTGTGTTTTATTGTTTGTGCTATAAACAAAAGAGCAAAACATTTGAAAAAATCTTTGTTTCTATTATAACATTTTGCAAACAGGTCATTTTTATCCTTCATTGATGTGCGTTGATGAGGCTGCACTGATAGGAAGCACTGATGGGCACTGATAGGTGGCACTGATGGGCACTGATAAGCTGGCATGGATAGGCAGCACTGATGGGAACTGATAGGTGGCACTGATGGGCACTGATAAGCTGGAATGGATAGGCAGCACTGATGGGCACTGATAGGTGGCACTGATGGGCACTGATAAGCTGGCATGGATAGGCAGCACTGATGGGCACTGATAGGTGGCACTGATGGGCACTGATAAGCTGGCATGGATAGGCAGCACTGATGGGAACTGATAGGTGGCACTGATGGGCACTGATAAGCTGGCATGGATAGGCAGCACTGATGGGAACTGATAGGTGGCACTGATGGGCACTGATAAGCTGGCATGGATAGGCAGCACTGATGGGAACTGATAGGTGGCACTGATGGGCACTGATAATGGCATGGATAGGCAGCACTGATGGGCACTGATAGGTGGCACTGATGGGCACTGATAAGCTGGTATGGATAGGCAGCACTGATGGGAACTGATAGGCAGCTCTGATGGGCACTGATAGGTGGCACTGATGAGCTAGCATGGATAGGCAGCACTGATGGGCACTGATAGGCAGCACTGATGAGCTGGCACTGATGAGGCGGCACTGATATGCAACAATGATAGGCACTGATAGGCGGCACTTATGGGCACTGACTGACGGCACTGCTTGGCACTGATGGGTGGCACTGATGGGGGGCACTGCTGGGCACAGGTGGGTGGCACTACTAGGCACTGATGGGCACAGGTGGGTGGCACTACTGGGCACAAGTAAGTGGCACTGCTGGATACTTGTGGGCGGCACTGGTGGGCACTGATCATCAGTGCCCTGATGATCAGTGCCGATCTGTCCTCTGACAATTGCCAGTTATCGGATGTACTTTTCTCACGGTGGAAAGTGCAGCCGATAACTGGCAACTGCATTTACCCAGTGATCTGCTCTGTCATTGGATACGGTTGATCACGTGGTAAAAGGCCGCTGTGATTGGCCTTTTACCACATCACGTGATCAGCTGTGTCCGGAGTCCGGAGTTCGCCGGGTGTGTGCCCCCGGTGGCGCACGGGAGGGCGCGTTCTGGGAGAACGTCACATGACGCCCTCCCAGAACTGGACGACCGCGCTGTAGCCATCATTCGGCGGTTGGCAACTCATTTAGATCCTTATCTACATTAAATTATCCTCAGAACCCGTGTCATTAATTTGTGGTCGGAATTAAAGGGATGAGGTGGCAACCCTAGTAGTCAGGCACAGAATACACAGGTAGGAAATGACCGGGAATGCAGAGAACTGTGAAGTCGGGCAGGTAATGTGGGCTAGACTGAGCATGTCCTAAACAGAGGACGCAAACAATGAGGTGGGCTACAATGTAATGGAAGGTAAGGAAATAAAACCCAAGAATAGCAGGCATTGCCCACCGGTGAGCACATCCAAACCGCACGTGAAAGGAATCGGGGTAGGAAAAGCACTGCAGCATACACACAGGTAAAATACACTCAGGCAAGAAATCGCCGGCTAACTTGTGACACCCTCAATTAGTTTCCAATATCTGGTTAATTACCAGAAGGGTGGGCTACGTGTTCAGCAAAACACACGAAACGGTATGGGCATTTAGCTGGCTCTTTGCCCACCGCGCCCCACAATGCACTGTACCCTGGTCAGGTGCAATGCTTTGGCGAATCACAGTGCGTGATGACGTCACAAGGGGTTGGGGTGAACCCCGCCCCCTTGTGACGTCATGACAGTATTTAAGAATGGTCATCGGGGGCACAACTGTCAGACAGTGGGGAGTCGGCGTCGCAAGCGGGGTAGTTTGTTTTTTTACTTTTTGGGTAGTGACGGTGGCGGACATCGTGATTGAAATTGGATCTACTTCAGGGGACATTTTTTACATTTTTATTTTTAACCACTTCACGTCCGGACACTTTCACCCCCTTCCTGTCCGGACACTTTCCCCCCCTTCCAGTCCGGACTCTTTCCCCCTCTTCCTGTCCGGACACTTTCACTTTCACCCTTTTCCAGTCCGGACATTTTCACCCCATTCCAGTCCGGACACTTTCCCCCCCCCTTCCAGTCCGGACACTTTCCCCCCCTTCCAGTCCGGACACTTTCCCCCCCTTCCAGTCCGGACACTTTCACCCCCTTCCAGTCCGGACACTTTCCTCCCCTTCCAGTCTGGACACTTCCTCCCCCCCTTCCAGTCCGGACGCGCTTCCCCCCCCCCCCTTCCAGTCCGGACACTTTCCTCCCCTTCCAGTCTGGACACTTTCACCCCCCCCTTCCAGTCCGGACACTTTCACCCCCTTCCAGTCCGGACACTTTCCCCCCCTTCCAGTCCCGGACACTTTCACCCCCTTCCAGTCCGGACACTTTCACCCCCTGCCAGTCCGGACACTTTCCCCCCCTTCCAGTCCCGGACACTTTCACCCCCTTCCTGCCCAGGCCAATTTGCAGCTTTCAGCGCTGTCACACTTTGAATGAATATTGCGTGGTCATGCAACACTGTACCCAGATGAATTTTTTACCATTTTTTTGAGACAGATAAAGCTTTATTTTGGTGGTATTTATTCACCGCTGGGATTTTTTTTTTTTTTTTTTGCTATATAAATGAAAAAGTCCAAAAATTTTGAAAAAAGTGTTTTTCTTATAAAATTTTGCAAATAAATAATCTTTCTTCATAAATCTTGGCCAAAATGTATTCAGTTATCTTTTTAGTAAAAAAAAAAAAAAACCCAAATTAATTTATAACCAAAAAATATAATTTTATACAAATTTGTTTTTACATTTTTATTTTACGTTTTTATATTTATTTTTTATGTTTTGTTTATTTTTTAACATACTGACACCCTAGCAGTACAGTGTCACCATAGTGACACTGTACTACTTGTAGGGGGTGATGAAGATTTTTTTTTTTTACACTGATTGCTTTTACACCAATAGAGGCTGTAAAAGCAATCATTTCTCCTTCTCTCTGGCTGCATTCTTGCAGCCATTGAGAAATACTGTGTGAACTGTGATTGGGCACAGCTTGTCACATGGTACAAGGTTGTTGTGAATAGCCCTGTACCATCTGATCTCTGTGATCATTCACAGATTTCATGCGTAGTAAGCAATGATGTCAGAAGTGATATCTTGCTTACTACTCTTCATGTGATCACTGATTGGCCAATCAGTGATCACATGATCTGGACCTCACACAGAGGTCCCTTACAGCGATCGGTGTTCCTCTGTCCGGAGGACACAGCGGGCACCGGATCGCCGTGCTGCGCGCGTTTCCAGGGAGTGCACACAATCCAAAATGGTAGGCGCCGTTTTATGAATGGCAACCCGCCACTGCACTGCCACCGGCTGGCCGTTTATATACAGCAGCAAGTGGTTAATAAAGGACTTTTCAAGGACTGTCTCCTGTCATTTTTTACACTACACTGTTTTTTTTTGTGAATGGGCAGCGGTACCATGTACCCCATCACATTGGGGGGGGGACCTTGTTAAATAGGGGGCTTCCAGATTCTGATAATCCCCCCGCCCGCTGACCCCCACACCCACATCAGAAGAAGCCCTTGTCTCCATCATCATGGGGACAAGGTGCTTTGGGGGGGCCCGAACGCAAAGCCCCATGTTGAGGGCATGTAGACTGGTATGGTTCAGGTGGGGGGGGGGCGCTCACTCATCCCCCCCCTTTCCTGACCTGCCGGGCTGCATGCTTGGATAAGAGTCTGGTATGGATTTTGGGGGGCCCCAAACGCCGTTGTTTTTAAAAATTTGGCATGGGGGTTCCCCTTAAAAGCCATAACAGACCCGAAGGGCTTGGTATGGATGGGAGGGGGGACCCCAGAATGGAAAACCTCTGACAGCTGAGACATGAATGAATTATTCATTTGTGAGTATACTGCTTTTTATTCAATAAATCTCCTTTTTTGAAGGTAATGCTCTAGGCCCGTGTGCCTTTGTTTGTTTCTTTGGAAACGTGAATGAAAGTCTATGAAAATACTGCATGACTTAATAATAGAACTCATGCGGTATTTGTAACTGAGCGGTATCTTACTATATACTCAGACGCGGTAAGAGACCGCTCAGTATATTGTTCGTTTTTGAAGTTCGCGGTCGAACGTTCTGTGGGTTCGGATGTTCGACCGCGAACTGAAAAGGGGGGTGTTCGGCCAATCGCTAATTACCAGTCCAAAATGAGAGCAGGCAGCTTAGGATGTCCAACTCTAGCCGGATCTAGTCTGTCTTAGGTGGGGGGGCTGTAAGGAATGTCATGGGAGCATAGGAAGGGAGGTCAGCAGGAGAGAAGATAGGGTCAGCAGTTTGTAGGGCAGTGCACAGAGGCCATTATTTGTAGGGCAGTATACAGGATTCAGCAGGGCAGAGGACAGGAATCAGTAGGGCAGAGGACAGGAGGTCAATAGGGCAGTGTACAGGAGTTAGCAGTGTAGGGGTTGGCAGACTGATGTACAGGGGGCATAGCAGGGTCAGCAGTACAGGGTCAGCAGGGCATAGGGCAGGGGTCAGCCAGAGCATAGAGACAGGGGTCAACAAGGCATAGGGTACAGGGGGCTCAGAGTACGGGCATAGGACAAGAGGCAGGGCTCAACAGGGCACAGTGAACAGGGGTCAGCAGGGCAGAGGACAGGGGTCAGCAGAGCAGAGTACAGGGTTCAACAGGGCAGAGTACAGGGCTCAACAGGGCAGAGAACAGGGAGTCATCAGGGCAGAGTAGAGGGGTTAGCAGGGCAGAGTAGAGGGGTTAGCAGGGCAGAGTAGAGGGGTTAGCAGGACAGAGTAGAGGGGTTAGCAGGGTAAGCAGGGCAGAGTAGAGGGGTTAGCAGGGCAGAGTAGAGGGGTTAGCAGTGTAGAGTACAGAGGTTAACAGGGCAGAGTAGAGGGGTTAGCAGGAAAGAGTACAGAGGTTAGCAGGAAAGAGTACAGGGGTTATCAGGGCAGAGTACAGGGGTTAGCAGGATAGAGTACAGAGGTTAGCAGGGCAGAGTAGAGGGGTAAGCAGGGCAGAGTACAGAGGTTATCTGGGCAGAGTAGAGGGGTAAGCAGGGCAGAGTACAGGGGTCAGCAGGGCAGAGTACAGGGGTCAGCAGGGCAGAGTACAGGGTCAGCAGGGCAGAGTACAGAGGTCAGCAGGGCAGAGTACAGAGGTTATCAGGGTAAAGTACAGGGGTAAGCAGGGCAGAGTACAGAGGTTATCAGGGCAGAGTACAGAGGTTAGCAGGGCAGAGTACAGAGGTTAGCAGGGCAGAGTAGAGGGGTTAGCAGGATAGCGTACAGAGGTAGAGGGCAGAGTACAGAGGTTAGCAGGGCAGAGTAGAGGGGTTAGCAGGGCAGAGTAGAGGGGTAAGCAGTGCAGAGTAGAGGGGTTAGCAGGGCAGAGTACAGGGGTTAGCAGGGCAGAGTTACAGGGGTAAGCAGGGCAGAGTAGAGGGGTAAGCAGGGCAGAGTACAGAGGGGTTCAGCAGGGCAGAGTAGAGGGGTAAGCAGGGCAGCGTACAGAGGTTAGCAGTGCAGAGTACAGGAGTTAGCAGGGCAGAGTACAGGGGTTAGCAGGGCAAGAGTTCAGGGGTCAGCAGGGCAGAGGATGGGGTCAATAGAGCATGCATTGAGGGAAGCAGGGCAGAGGATGGGGTCAGAAGGGTATAGGATGGAGTCAGCAGGGTGGAGGATGGGGTGAGCAGAACATAGAACAGGGTTTCAGCAGGGTGTAGGGCAGGGATTAGCCTGCTGGGTCCCTCCCCTGGCTCTGCTCTTTGAACAGGCTATGTACAGCACAGTGGTGATATCACTGCTATTTTTACAAGATAATTTCTGGGTTTTCAAGAGCATATAGTGCACACAAAGTGGATCTACAGCCTTCAGTCCCACAGAGAGCTTCATTTCCTTCACTTTACATGGAAAAAGTTTTTGTTGGGTGTATGGAAGATTCAGGGAGGTTTGCTTGATGTAGATGTTCTTGGTGACTGCCTTGGAGATGGCGTGCTTGGCCAGTTCTTCTGGCAGCAGCTGACAGACAGTGGTCTTGATCTCCTAGGAGCTGATGGTGAATCACTCGAAGATTTGGAGGTTGGAGGTTTTTTCCACTGCTCTAGACTCTAATTTGTACATGAAGAGCCCAAGTCCATCAGCTGAGCCCAGACTGGCCAGATCTCCGGTGAGATTCTTGGTAAAGAACGGTAGCAAATTAGTTACAGTGTACGACTTTACTGAATGAACCAGATGAGCTTAAAAAACAAACAACAAAAAACCCTACAGAAAAGTCTAACTATGCTGGTAGAATAGACTTCAAATTGGTTGGGAACTCTTCTTGGTCATTTCTCTCGTATTTTTGTCAATCTCACGGCAAAGTACAACTAAGCTGCATTTTAGCATATTTCAACAATTTTTAATTGTTTCTGACCCAGAAGAGGAAATGATTGAATTTCAGATGTTTGCCCTATTTTATCTCACCATTAAAATAAAATATTCTCTTAAATTCCCAATGAAAACAGCATTGTTCAGCAGATACAAAGGTTAATTCCAGTTACTTTATGGGGCTCCGTACATAAGAGCTCATTTCTGAGCATTAACTCAACGAAGCCTTCCAACCTCATTGCTAAAACCGTCACACTGAACAATTATGCTGAAACGGACGGAAATATTTATCCGAAGGAGCTTGCAAACTCTTTTTAAAATGAAACGAAAGTGTTACCCTGTCAGTAACGTCCAACTCCAGCCGAAAAACTACATGTACACTCACCGGCCACTTTATTAGGACCACCTTGCTAGTGCCTAGAAAATCTCCCCCACAGTATGACACCACCACCACCAGCCTGAACCATTGACACAAGGCAGGATGGATCCAACACACCATGACACCACCACCCCCAGCTTGAGCCGTTATTACAAGGCAGCATGGATCCACCACACCATGACAACCATCACCACCAGCCTGAACTGTTGATACAAGGCAGGATGGATCCAACACACCATGACACCACCACCATCAGCCTGAACCATTGATACAAGGCAGGATGGATCAACCACACCATGACACCACCAGCCTGAACCGTTGATACAAGGCAGGATGGATACACACCACACCATTACACCAGCACCACCACCAGCCTGAACCATTGATACAAGGCAGGATGGATCCACCACACCATGACACCAGCACCACCACCAGCCTGAACCATTGATACAAGGAAGGATGGATCCACCACACCATGACACCACCACCACCAGCCTGAACCGTTGATACAAGGCAGGACGGATCAACCACACCATGACACCACCACCACCACCAGCCTGAACTATTGTTACAAGGCAGGATGGATCAACCACACCATGACAGCACCAGCCTGAACCGTTGATACAAGGCAGGATGGATCCACCACACCATAACACCACCACCACCCTGAACCATTGATACAAGGCAGGACGCATCCACCACACCATGACACCACCACCACCAGCCTGAACCATTGATACAAGGCAGGATGGATACACCACAGCATTACACCAGCACCACCACCAGCCTGAACCATTGATACAAGGAAGGATCGATCCACCACACCATGACACCACCACCACCATCCTGAACCATTGATACAAGGCAGGATGGATCCAACACACCATGACACCACCACCACCAGCCTGAACCATTGATACAAGGCAGGATGGATCCATGCTTTCATGTTGTTTATAGCAAATTCTGACCCTACCATCTGAATGTTGAAGCTGAAATTCAGACTCATCAGACCAGGCAACGTTTCTCCAATGTCGGCTGCACATCCAGGATGCAACTCTCCATTCCACTACATCCCAAAGCTGCTCTATTGGATGGAGATCTGGTGACTGTGGAGGCCATTGGAGTCCAGTGACCTCATTGTCATGTTCCAGAAACCAGTTGGAGATGATGTGAGCTTTGTGACATGGAGCATTATCCTGCTGGAAGGAACCATCAGAAGATGGGGACACTGGAGTCATAAAGGAATGGACATGGTCAGCAACAATACTCAGGTAGGCCTTGGTGTTTAAAAGATGCTCAATTGGAACTAAGGGTCCCAAAGTGTTGCAAGAAAATCTCCCCCACACCATGACACCACCACCAGCCTTAAACATTTATACAAGGCAGGAATGGATCCACCACACCATGACACCACCACCAGTCTGAACTGTTGATACAAGGCAGGATGGATCCACCTCACCATGACACCACCAGCCTGAACCACTGATACAAGGCAGGATGGATCCACCACACCATGACACCACCACCAGCCTGAACCATTGATACAAGGCAGGATGGATCCAACACACCATGACACCTCCACCACCAGCCTGAACCTTTCATACAAGGCAGGATGGATCCAGACTTTCATGTTGTTTACACCAAATTCTGACCCTACCATATGAATGCCGCCACTGAAATCCAGACTCCTCAGACCAGCCAACGTTTCTCCAATCTTCTATTGTCCAATTTTGGTGAGCCTGTGCGAATTGTAGCCTCCGTTTCCTGTTGTTCGCTGACAGGAGTGGCGCCAGGTATGGTCTTTTGTGAATGAACACAGTGAGGGAAGTTCCCCTTCCTTCTGCTACCTGCCCCCCTCTGTGTGCTCCTGTGCCCTTCTCCCCCTCTCGTAGCACTGCTGGCTCCCCTCCTCTCTTCTCCCGCTGGCTGCTGTGGTGGGATGTTTCAGAATGCAGAGCGGCGGAAGGGGCCCGGTAAATATGTCATTTGCCAGCCCGTCCTTTTGTGAATGAACATACTGAGGGATCGACTGCGATCACTGACTCTGTTCATTCATAACTGAAGCATACTGAAAATAAAGAGAAAGAATCCAAAACAAGAAAACTATTGTAGTCACCAAGCCAGGGACTGGCAATTCTCAACACGTTACATTTCTGGTTTGGGGTTTCGATACGCTGCAACAGGTTTGTTCCGCCTCATTCCCGTATTTTCCGCTTCCTGCGCCTTTCACATTCTTATAATAATTACAAATGATGTTTGTAAATGACGACTTATTATTATATATTAATGAAGCTATCACTTTTTTTTTTTGACTGTTGGCATAATCGAAGTCATGGCGCACAGATGTCGCCCGAATTCCCCTCGCCCCGCTGTCGTAGACAATTCACAGACACGCCTCCAGTGACACATGATTGCTATTGACAAATGCAGGAAATTGAGGGGGTGCAGCTACAGCAACGCAGGGGAGGGGCTCCGTGACCGCACCACCATGGAGGTGTTGGGTGGGCTTTGGTCACCGTTAGATTCTTCCATCCCTCGAGGACTCCAGCTGTGAGATTCTGAGTTCTTGGCTCAACTTGGTGCTTTCGGTGTTCTCACTCCTTCTGTGTATTCTGCATAGTAAAATATAATGAACACAATCTATCGGTGAATGAGACCCGGAATTGGGCATAAGAGGCACGAGGCACATCAGGGTATGTGTGTGTGCGGCCAGCACCCTACTGGCCCCTCCCACCAGCCATAATCTGCCTGCATTGCCTAGAGAAGCACATAGACTCAATGAACCTCAAATAAGGTATGCCACGAAAAGGGAAAGCATGCTGATGATGGGGGGAGGGAACCAGGGAAGACAAAACATTTCTTTGATTGAATAGGTAATGCGTAGGTACATGTCTGTCAGCATTGATGTTGTTACTTTATGGCCATTTCATACCAGAAAACTTTTAAGTTAAAAAAGTATGTAGTATGTCTGCAGTCTCTGACCATCTCCTGTACCATGTCTGCAGTCTCTGACCATCTCCTGTAACATGTCTGCAGTCTCTGACCACCTCCTGTACCATGTCTGCAGCCTCTGACCATCTCCTGTAGTAGGTCTGCAGTCTCTGACCATCTCCTGTAGTATTTCTGCAGTCTCTGACCATCTCCTGTACCAGGTCTGCAGTCTCTGACCATCTCCTGTAGTAGGCCTGCAGTCTCTGACCACCTCCTGTACCATGTCTGCAGCCTCTGACCATCTCCTGTAGTAGGTCTGCAGTCTCTGACCATCTCCTGTAGTATTTCTGCAGTCTCTGACCATCTCCTGTACCAGGTCTGCAGTCTCTGACCATCTCCTGTAGTAGGCCTGCAGTCTCTGACCATCTCCTGTACCAGGTCTGCAGTCTCTGACCATCTCTAGTAGGTCTGCAGTCTCTGACCATCTCATATAGTATTTCTGCAGTCTCTGACCATCTCCTGTAGTATTTCTGCAGTCTCTGACCATCTCCTGCACCAGGTCTGCAGTCTCTGACCATCTCCTGTAGTATGTCTGCTGTCTCTGAACATTTCTTGAAGTAGGTCTGCAGTCTCTGACATCTCCTGTAATATGTCTGCAGTCCCTGGATATCTCCTGTAGTATGTATGCAATCTCTGACCATTTCCTGTAGTATGTCTGCATTCTCTGACCATCTCCTGTAGTAGGTCTGCAGTCTCTGACCACCTCCTGTAATATGTCTGCAGTCTCTTACTATCTCCTGCAGTGTATCTGCAGTCTCTGACCATCTCCTGTAGTAAGTCTGCAGTCTCTGACCATCTCCTGTAGTATATCTGCAGTCTCTGACCATCTCCTGTAGTAGGTCTGCAGTCTCTGACCATCTCCTGTAGTAGATCTGCAGTCTCTGACATCTCCTGTAATATGTCTGCAGTCCCTGGCCATCTCCTGTAGTAGGTCTGCAGTCTCTGACCATCTCCTGTAGTATTTCTGCAGTCTCTGACCATCTCCTGTAGTATTTCTGCAGTCTCTGACCATCTCCTGTAATATGTCATGTCATATGTCGATCTTTTGGTAGTATTCACACCAGTGGAGGTTCTTGGCGATTAGCTGCGGGAGACATCCCTACTAAAAGCAATGTGAGGCTGTGGATCCCGCAGCTAACTGTGGCTACTCACATTTGACTGCTCATGCAGTGATCACTCGCGAGTGATCGGCCTGGATGCAGACTGCCACATACAGTAGTCTTCTTGTCCTCAAGAAACTTTGTAGGTCAAATCAGTCTAGTCAAGCTTTATACGCCAATCACACCATCGGGGTCTCAGTAATTAGCAGCAGAAGACCGTCCTATTGAAAGCAATGGGAGGCTGCGGCTTCTGCAGCTAAACGTGGCCGCTCACATGTGATCACTCATGCAGCCCTGGATACAGACTACCACATAGTCCTCTTGTCCCCGGTGTTCTACCTTAGGAACTTAGCAGACCAAGCCAGTCTAGTTGATCATTATACTGCATTCACACCAATGGGGGGTTCTTGATTGTTAGCTGCAGGAGGTGTCACTATTAAAAGCAATGGGAGGCTGTGGCTCCTGGAGCTAAACGTGGCCGTTCACATGTGATCGCTCATGCAGCCCTGAATACAGACTACCACATAGATTTCTTGTCCCCGATATTTTTACTTTAGGAACTTTGCAGACCAAACCAGTCTAGTCGACCTTTAGGCTGCATTCACACCATTGGGGGTTCTCGGTGATTAGCTGCAGAAGACCGCCCTATTAAAAGCAATGGGATGCTGTGGCTCCTGCAGCTAAACGTGGCCGCACACATGTGATCGGTCATGCAGCCCTGGATACAGACTACCACATAGTCCTCTTGTCCCCGCTGTTTCTACCTTGGGAACTTTGCAGACCAAGCCAGTCTAGTCGACCTTTAGGCTGCATTCACACCACTGGGGGTTCTCGGTGATTAGCTGCAAAAGACAGCCCTATGGAAAGCAATGGGAGGCTGTGGCTCTTGTCCCCGATGTTTCTACTTTAGGGACTTTGCAGACCAAGCCAGTCTAGTCAACCTTTAGGCTGCATTCACACCAGTGGGGGGCTCTTGATTATTAGCTGCAGGAGGCATTCCTATTGAAAGCAATGGGAGGCTTTAGCTCCTGCAGCTAAACATGGCCACTCACATGTGATCACTCATGCAGCCCTGGATACAGACTACCACATAGTCCTCTTGTCCCCGCTGTTTCTACCTTGGGAACTTTGCAGACCAAGCCAGTCTAGTCGACCTTTAGGCTGCATTCACACCACTGGGGGTTCTCGGTGATTAGCTGCAAAAGACAGCCCTATGGAAAGCAATGGAGGCTGTGGCTCCTGCAGCTAAACGTGGCTGTTCATATGTGATGATCATGCAGCCCTTGCACAGACTACCATGTAGTCCTCTTGTCCCCGGTGTTTCTACCTTGGGAACTTTGCAGACCAAGCCAGTCTAGTCAATCTTTATACTGTATTCACACTATTGGGGGTTCTCGGTGGTTATCTATAGGAGGCATCCCTATTGAAAGCAACGGGAGGCTGTGGCTCCTGCAGCTAAACGTGGCTGTTCATATGTGATGATCATGCAGCCCTTGGCACAGACTACCACGTAGTCCTCTTGTCCCCGGTGTTTCTACCTTGGGAACTTTGCAGACCAAATCAGTATAGTTTGATCTTTAGGCTGCATTCACACCAGTGGGGGGTTCTTGATTATTAGCTCCAGGAGGCATCCCTATTGAAAGCAAAGGGGGCTGTGGATCCCGCAGCTAAACGTGGCCGCTCACATGTGATCGATCATGCAGCAGCCCTGGATGCAGACTACTACATACACTTCTTCTTTCCTCTGAAGGTTGTCCCCCAAATCTCTCCCTCCATTTACAGATACAAACCTTGGCGCCAATCCTCTCCGTACCCGCGATTCGTCCATCTGTCCTGCGCTAAACGCGTCGCATTATCTCCCTTCGATTCGGTGAACACTTGGAGAAAGAAAGTGAAGTTGAGAGATGACTGTATTCTTCGTCCCGCGCAGATATCCCTGACTCAGCACGCAGATGTCGGCTCCTTTTGGCACTAAAAACCGCCTACACCTTCTATAGATTGAGATCCAGAAACTCGCGGTAATCAATTTTCCTCTTAAGTACTGACGGGAGAGTAAGCATTTGGCTCCGCACAGCTTGTATTAATAGCTGACGCCGTCTCTGAAAAAAATATCGGTTCATTGTGGAGAAAGACCACACAATTCGCTTTTCCAGGCAGCGAGCAAAACGCGGGGCGTTGAGGGGGATTAAATCGCTGCGTTATGGAATTTTTTAATGTGCCAGAGACTATTATTCGCTAAGTCATAAAGCCAAGAAAAGAAAAAAAAAAATGAAAAAAATGGAACGCGTTCCTAAAACGCTGCATAGAAACATAAAAGTAATTGTTCGCAATACGATTTGGAAGCCCCGAGAGATCTACAGTAGTAATTACGGAGACAAAGGAAACAGCCGACTGATTGTTTAATGAGAAAAAAAAAAAAAATAATCGCTACGAATGAAACCGCCCGCTAGCAAAGCGATACGGAGCGCCCTCTACGCCGGGTGAACGGTCAGAATTCATGGCATGCTGCATGGGTGCAGGTGCGGGGATTATCAGGAAGCGTGGTCCTGGAGACAAAAAGTGTTTTGAAATACTGAGCATTTACTGTATGTAGCACTACCCACCTTAGGGACCGCTAAAGTTTTGGGTCACCTTACAATCCGTGCAGACGTAAGGCTGGAGAGCAGGAGCCAGGGAGGGAGCAGGGGGATCACCTCCAGGCAGGGACTTTGGAAGGAGGAAATCTTGGGACTTCACGACCACCCTTGTGGCAGGAAACAGGGAAGGAGCCTGCTAGCAAACCAAAACGATACAGGGGATCTCATGAGGCCCTCTACGCCGGGTGAACGGTCAGAATTCATGGCATACGCTGCATGGGTTCATGGGTGCGGGGGATTATAAGGAGCGTGGTCCAGGGAGACAAAAAGTGTTTCTGAAATACTGAGCATATACTGTATGTAGCACTACCCCCTTAGGGACCGCTAAAGTTTTGGGTCACCTTACAATCCGTGCAGACGTAAGGCTGGAGAGCAGTTGCCAGGGAGGGAGCGGGGGATCCCTCCAGGCAGGGACCTTGGAAGGAGGAAAGCTTGGGACTTCACCGACCACCCTTGTGGCAGGGAAGGAGCCTGCTAGCAAAAGCGATACGGAGCGCCCTCTACGCCGGGTGAACGGTCAGAATTCATGGCATGCTGCATGGGTTCAGGTGCGGGGATTATAAGGAACGTGGTCCTGGAGACAAAAAGTGTTTCTGAAATACTGAGCATATACTGTATGTAGCACTACCCCCTTAGGGACCGCTAACGTTTTGGGTCGCCGTACAGACGTAAGGCTGGAGAGCAGGAGCCAGGGAGGGAGCAGGGGGATCACCTCCAGGCAGGGACTTTGGAAGGAGGAAAGCTTGGGACTTCACCGACGGAGCCACCCCTTGTGGCACGGGAAAGAGCGGGGATTATAAGGGGGCGGACTGACAACTCATGGGGCCCCAGGCAGAGGACTTTTGGAAGGAGGAATGCTTTGGGATCTATCTCACCGACCACCCTTGTGTCAGGGAAAGAGCAGGGAGCGGGACTGACAACTCTTGGGGCCCCCGGGCAATAGGGGATCATGGGGCCTCTGTGTCCTCACCCTTGTGGCAGGGAAAGAGCAGTCAAACACCCAAACATGGGGCCTCCCAAAAAAGCCTATGAAATGAAAAGGTACCAGGGGCATCTCATGAGGCCCCTTACTGACCCCAGGTGAGTTTCCGAATGGGCAGTCCGCCCCTGGGAAGGAGCCTGCTAGCAAAGCGATATGGAGCGCCCTCTACGCCGGGTGAACGGTCAGAATTCATAGCATGCTGCATGGGTGCAGGTGCGGGGATTATCAGGAACGTGGTCCTGGAGACAAAAAGTGTTTCTGAAATACTGAGCATATACCGTATGTAGAACTACCCCCTTAGGGACCGCTAAAGTTTTGGGTCACCTTACAATCCGTGCAGACGTAAGGCTGGAGAGCAGGAGCCAGGGAGGGAGTGGGGATCACCTCCAGGCAGGGACCTTGGAAGGAGGAAAGCTTGGGACTTCACCGACCACCCTTGTGACAGGGAAGGAGCCTGCTAGCAAAACGATACGGAGCGCCCTCTACGCCGGGTGAACGGTCAGAATTCATGGCATGCTGCATGGGTGCAGGTGCGGGGATTATAAGGAGCGTGGTGCTGGAGACAAAAAGTGTTTTTGAAATACTGAGCATTTACTGTATGTAGCACTACCCCCTTAGGGACTGCTAAAGTTTTGGGTCACCTTACAATCCGTGCAGACGTAAGGCTGGAGAGCAGTTGCCAGGGAGGGAGTGGGGATCACCTCCAGGCAGGGACCTTGGAAGGAGGAAAGCTTGGGACTTCACCGACCACCCTTGTGGCAGGGAAGGAGCCTGCTAGCAAAACGATACGGAGCGCCCTCTACGCCCGGGTGAACGGTCAGAATTCATGGCATGCTGCATGGGTTCAGGTGCGGGGATTATAAGGAGCGTGGTCCTAGAGACAAAAAGTGTTTCTGAAATACTGAGCATATACTGTATGTAGCACTACCACCTTAGGGACCGCTAACGTTTTGGGTCGCCGTACAGACGTAAGCCTGGAGAGCAGTTGCCAGGGAGGGAGCAGGGGGATCACCTCCAGGCAGGGACTTTGGAAGGAGGAAAGCTTGGGACTTCACTGACCACCCTTGTGGCAGGGAAGGAGCAGGGGCGGACTGACAACTCATGGGGCACTTGGGCAATAGGGGATCATGGGGCCCCTGTGTCGTCGGACACAGTCAAAACCACACCCAAAAAAAAGCCTATGAAAGGTACCAGGGGCATCTCATGGGGCCCCTTACTGACCCCAGGCCCTCGGGCAGTGCCCGAGTTTCCGAATGGGCAGTCCGCCCCTGGGAAGGAGCCTGCTAGCAAAGCGATACAGATCGCCCTCTACGCCGGGTGAATGGTCAGAATTCATGGCATGCTGCATGGGTGCAGGGATTATAAGGAGCGTGGTCCTGGAGACAAAAAGTGTTTCTGAAATACTGAGCATATACTGTATGTAGCACTACCCCCTTAGGGACCGCTAACGTTTTGGGTCACCGTATAGCCTGTACAGACGTAAGGCTGGAGAGCAGGAGCCAGGGAGGGAGCGGGGATCACCTCCAGGCAGGGACCTTGGAAGGAGGAAAGCTTGGGGCTTCACGACTACC